TCCAGTACACAACATCGATCGTTGTGTATGTGTCGATGTGCCGCTACATTTGTGTATATATCCGCCGACCCTCTGCCTCCCGTCCCAGCCTCCTGCAGAGGGGACCGGCGTGGGATGCAACTGGAAGTGATTGGAATCAATGATAGTCCCTGACGCCCGAAAGCACAAAAAAGTGGATTTCCAGGACGGTCCTTGGCCTGGTCCTGCGACCACTTCGGATTACTTGCAGTCAGGCAAAACCGGTCCTGGGCCGGTCCCAGGACTGATCCCGGGACCAGGGACCCTGGGAACAGTCCTGGGCCGGTCCTGGGACTGGTCCCAGCACCCAGGTTTGGTCCCAGGTGTTGGGACTGGTCCTGGAACCGGGCTGGTCCCGGCGTCCCAGGACCGGTCCCAGGACCGGTCCTGGCAGGACCGCTTGCAGGACTGGTCCAAGCCGGTCCCAGGATCGAGTCCTGGCGTGACCGCTGGCATCGGATCCCACTTCAAACCGCTGCAGAAACCCGGTGCCACCTCGAACAGCTCCAGACACCTGTTCGGGAGGGCCAGTTTCAGGGCGACCCGGGACAGGCGACTGCTCCCGGGCCAACTCGAAGTGACTTGGGCGCAAGCCAGCCCAAGCGGCAATTAACGGACTAGCTGCCATATTTCTGACTTTTCCGTTAATCATTGTTTGTGGTCGTAGAAAATCTTATAAGTGGTCCCTGGGTTTGCGGACGTGTTTCAGGAACGGTCCTTGTGACTTTTCCCTTAATGCGCCGAGGGTCGGCGGCGGCAGGCGGGAGCCTGGTTAATATATATATATATATATATACACAGAAGTATATGTGCACATAAGCCCATGTGTATAGATCTAACAACAATAAACTGCATGTACAATAGTGTTAGTATATTACAACAAGTACTATGTTGCTCATGATTGTTCCGAATGTAGAGACATGCGCTACAGTCCATAGTAATAGTGCTTGTATTTATGGGGCGGGATTGGCACAGCTTAAATACAAGGTTTTACGTTCGGCGAGTATGCAGGCCCAAGTCGGGCTCCGGAAATCTCGAGACCTCGAAATTGGACCAAGGCATTGTAAGTTGTGTGTTGAACAGCTCGCGCACCCTCCTGAGGTCCGGATTGAACAAAATGTCAAGTCGGAACGCACACGGCCCACATCACCAGGGTGGGGCCAGTTTCGGACCCTGAACACAAGAACAGTTACCACGCTACCGTCGAACTCGTCAAGTCTCAAACCCGAGCGGTCGGACCAACGCATTGGAAACCAACATGAACTAACTGCAAAACAGCTAAGGAAGGGGTTGTCTCTTTTGTGGCGTTAAAGGGAAACCAGAAGGAACACCACTATTTTCAGACACACGCAAAGGTGTCTGGTTTGTCCATGATTGACAACTTTAAATCATAAGCATGAGCTGGTGTTCTGAGGAAAGCGCGGCATGTGACAAGACCGAACAGCCCCCTATGACATGCTGAGGTCACGTTCTTCGTTCTTCAGTACCAAGGCAAGTGCTTTCATTGGACCGTTTCAAGCGGAATTTCCCCCCCCCCCCCATCCAAGTCCATATAAACAGTCGGTCCAGCACAGAGGAAGGCCCCCAATTAAAAAAGTGCCTAAGCACCCAAGATCAAAAAAAACAAAACACAAAAACGAAAAACAACCAATACCGCAGATCACCGTGTGTCGCTTCAACCATATGTAAGGGCTTGGCAACAAAATAAACGGTTCAAAGCGAAAACCTGGATGCTTCAATTGCGTGGTTTGTGTCTGCTGAATGCAAGTGGACACCAGACGCAAAAGCAATGTGCAGAACATGTTGTGTATGCGTTTCCTGGTTGCGAAGAAGAATTATATCCCTTAAGACCTACAGTCTGTCGTGGTTTGAAGAGGGCCTGATGCTAAATGCATGCGCAGTGTTCGGGTTTTCAGGCCTTCTTGCTTGCTCTCAAGGGGCACCGTAGGGATCGGAAAAGGGGTTGGTCCGCCTTTTGATGAGTTGGGCGACCATGTTCGATGATTTGACAAGCTCTCAAAACAAACTTGAAGCTTCACCCCACGCCCCCGCGTTTCGAGCGTCAAACAAACAGGATTGGTTTCAGGCCCTGTTCCCTTCTTTACGGACACATAACCCTATTTGGTCCAAACCGTTCAACATCTCGGGGTCGAAGGGTCCCTGGAATTCGAACATCCAACCCAGCCTCAGGTCTGGAGGTCCATTTTAGGACAGCTTGGTTCATTTTTTGTGGATGGACAAACTGCAGCACCACCAACTTGGGTGCTTTATCAACCAGTATTTATGGTGCGAATCGGATTTTTCCCATCCACATGACTCCCCTAGGAACATCCGCCTTGTTGAGGTTCGGCATTCCTTCCTTCTCCACGCCCCGCAGCACGGATTCCAAATCCGCGGCCATGCAACTTGATCTTCTGACCGACACGCTCAGCGCTGACAGCGGCTCCGCGCCAATTTGCCTGGTCTAATTTCTTCATAGAGAGCTCCAGGAAACGTCTACCTGGAGTCTCCATGACCCTTAAAAAATGGGGGCAGTACCCTTAATAATGGGGTCATAAACCTATTTTTAAAGGGTCATGGAGACTCTAGGCACAGGAAATTAAACAAATAACTCGTCAAAACCATCTGGAGGTCCCTTCTGGATAACATCGGAAGATCAAACTCCTTCCTCGGTCAAAAGTTGCCCTGAAATAGTCTTTGGCCGCTGTGTATGCTTGGAAAAGTGCGAAATGCTGGGCGCAAAACATCTGGTCGAAGCCCTATGTCGCCTTGAAACATCACTTCCCAAAACGAAGTTCACTTTGAATGGCCCAAAGGGTGCCGTTCTGATGCCCTATAACAGAAAGGACACCTCACCCCTGGTGTCCCTGCCTCTGCAGGAGCGACACTGCGCAACCGCTGTCTTCCTCCAGGAACGAATACCCATAGGCAAAGCGCCACAGCCTCTGCAGAATCCCGGAAATGCAACCTTCTCCAGCAACAGAACGCTTACTTTCGGCGTGATTCTTTGCATCACTCTTGAGTCACTTGGGAGACTAAAGTCAAGCCGAGTTTCAAGGTAAAGTCAGAAAGCCATGTCACTTGCCACAAGCTGGGACCTCTCCCACGGAGAACAGGTTCAGCATAAAACATTGGACACCAGAAAGCCGAGACACACAAACTCAGAAATATTGCTTGATGCGAAGAAGCAAACCTCAAGCGTGCCGATCTCGTTTTCGAAAATAACACAGTGACTCTGGGCAAGCAGACCAATGAGACCCGGAGATCCATAAGACATGCAACGAGTGGCAAACCGGGCGCAGCACCAAGGAACCAATGCGTTACGCAGCAATTACATCAAATAATGAAAGGGGGTTGTCGCAAGCCTATTAACAAAACAGAAAAGCACATCAATAATCCTTCCTGTTGGTCCTCCTTGGTAGCCGACCGAGACAGTCAAACAACCACAGCTCGGGTGGCACGAAAACAATCCACGAAGCTTCGTGGACAGCCAGCTAAGTAATCGTGAGTTCCCTTGTTTCTTTCTCCAACTGGCCCCTCTTGCAAACAGAGGCTCGCACACGTATTTTAACATAACTCTCATTCCCTGCTGCTTTCAACGCCCAACCCCACACGTCTACCCACGCCGACCCGTTTTTCAATTCAAGCGCCACGGGATCCCAACTTCAACCATATATATGAATTTGTTTTATTGGATTGGATCGAGTTCAAGGACAACTGGAGGAAAATAGCCAAAAGACACCCATGCTATTCTGGGATCAACATTATTGACTACCCAAAACGACAGCACCTCTGCAGCGAGAGTCCATCTTAAGCCAGTGAGGTCCACCCGTTTTCAACCCAAAAGGACACCTGCCTGTTCCAAATACCCACTGCTTAAAGGGCATGATGCTAGACCGAGAAAAAGGAGGTGACAAAACCACGGGCAAGAAAACAATCACTCATTTTGTAGCAACCACGGGGAACGCACCAAATAACTCTGATTTTTACAACATACCCGACAACAAAAATAGGTAGTTGGAGTAGGGGGCATAACTCCGGGGGCTGGGGCATCTTCTTTCCAGGCGGCAGCGCCAGCAGCACATGGCGCGCCATGCACCCGAAACGTCCCGTCCGTTTGTTTCTCCCGGTTCGGTCGCGGGCGAAACGGTTTCCCCCGCTGAGCCCAAAGCAAAGCGAGAGGCAGCGACTCGCTTCTGACCCGCGGACATGCAATTCCTGCAGATCGAGTCAACAAATATCAGATTTGCTTGAAAAAAGGACCTGGCAACAGAACTATCAGATAAGAAAAACAAAACTAGAGGACCTTCATGCGTGAGCTCGTCCCAATTCGTCCCAGGTGAGCTCGCTGAACATTTGTCCAGTCGTAATGCCAGGGCCGCGTTTTGGGGAGACTTTCAAAGGATATTGAAATGAACTAAACAATTGAAAAGGCTCTGACAAAAATGCTCTTTCTTTCAAATCCGCGTTGGATTGGGGATTGTGCCGCGCTTGAGCGCCTTGGCTTCCGCCATGGACCGGGATTCGGGATAATCTAACGCAAAGGGAGGCAAACATTGGCTCAAAGAGGAAGACACAAGCGTTGCTGGGCTTTCTTCGTTGACGGGCTTCTCAAGAAGCGGGCGAAACATAAAGGCTCCTGATCTCTCTTGTCGAATAGGCCAAGTTGTTACAATGACATTATTCTATATATGTCTGAACATTGGGGACATCCCGCCCTTACGGGAAGCCAACATGCAATCAATTGCTTGGAAAGAGTGCCCACTACCAAGATAATACCCACATTGGGGTTTGAAACATACCGAAAATTGCAGCCCAAGGTGATTCGAACAGGTAGAGAGGGGTAGGGTAATGCTAGCTTTGGGGACATGCTGTAAGGTCATCAACTTCAATCAGTTCAGGAAGGCAAATCGTCAGCGTGGATCCAGTGCCCTCACATGGGGGGCCGCTCGCTAAGACTCACCCTGCGCCCCTGCGCGCGCCTCCGCGTCGTGTCGGAAGGACTGGCCCACCCGGCACTCCAAGCCTGGCGGACCAACGGGGTTGGGATTTGCTGAGGGTACTGGGTAGTTTTGAGGCTGGTTCAACCCACATGCCCATTGCGTTGTAACTGATTGGCCAGCAGAAGGCCCTGGTTTAACACAGATGCCGATTGCGTTGTAACCAGCCTGTAAATGCCCAGCCCAGACAGAGAACTCTATACATGTTCCACGAAGCAAACAGGCCCAAGTAGCCTTCATGTACCTTGAAGCTTTGTGGACTCCTCAACTTCCACCGCAAGGCCAGCTCGCAATGTGGCAGAAGGGAAGCTGGGAAGCCTCATATTGAATACTGTCTAGCTGCCAAAACATGGCTGTGGGTCAAAAAAATGTACCCAAAATGGAACCTCGGTAAATGGAAACTTGAACTACAAACTGCGGTCCCCTTGTGGCTTACTTTTGACCCACACCCACATATTGGGGCAGGTGTGTTTCTGCCTTTGCGTTTGCTGCATAAATGTTCGGCGCGGGAAGATGTCTGACACGCACGTGGCGTCTGCAGAGCTGTGATTCTTGGTGTGCTGCACGAAAATTTGGCAGCTTCTCGCCGGTTGACTTGTGCCTGAAACAAACAGATGCAGTTTCCATGTTCTACAGGATAAGTTTCTAGAATTCGCAAACCTCTTTTCCGCTTTTCCGATGTTGCCAGCCATGCCCAGCGTTAGGCAGAGCATGCCTGAAGTGAGGGACCGCCCAGTAAGGGACCTTAATCACGGATAAGGTCGCAAAGCAACACGCTTGTGAGGCTGCCATGATCCGTCCCTGTGTTCGTTTTGGTTGCGTAGAAACATATGGTTGAGCCCGCAAACCTCCCCAACATGAGTGTGTTCGTTTTGGCTTTCCCCTTCAAACCAACCTGATAAGCGTACCCGATGCCCACTCATCTCCCACCTTGGCTCAGCACCACCGCCAGCGCCGAGTGGTTCGGGCCCAGCACTGAGCCTCGCGCCTGGATGGATGGGGTGCTGTTGATGGTTGCCTCCACACTTTCCCAGGAACGGGCGTAGGGTTTGGAGGTGGAAACCATAGAAAACAAGGTTCGCAAGCAGGGCGACAAATTGTTTTACCTAAGCATCCTATGACCCAAAGGCGGAAAGGTGCGAAACTGAGCGCCAAGCAAACCAAAACGGGTCCAACTGGGAGTCGTTTGCTTTACCCCAGCGTCAGAAAGGTCAACTCCTCCATTTTTTCACTCGCCAATAGACCAGAAGGCCACGTGGGTACGTCTGTTAAAAGAACATGGAACCCGAGAAAACGGTGGGTGTCCTTGTGGTTGGCCTTTGAAAGTTCCAAACAAAAATAAATGGGTGCCCTCGCCCTCCAAAAAATTGTTGACCCACCCACGTCACGCCCACGTCGAATGCATCCGTGAGGCCTCCTTGCTCACGCCGCTCTTCAGCCGCCCCCCGTAGAAGAGCTGACTGCAAAGCTCGCCGATGTCTGGGTGGCACCTGCGGTTTCCGGGTTCCCCCGAACACAAAGTCTAGGTCGCATGGGGGCTGGGGGCAGGGAGGGGGGGACGGAGCCCACATAAGCGCCGTATTAAGGGCTTAACAAGGGTTTATTTGGGCTCCCTCCCCCTCCCCTCTCTCCACCCCAGCCCCCATGAAAGGTCAACACACCAAATGAGTCATAATCAATACCTGGGCAATTTTTAAGATGGCCTACCCAGAACCATATACAGAATTGAACAGGCGGCTGCACCCATTTATAGTTGGCATTATCCCTTCCTAACCTTCATCTACCCAGGCTTCATTGTGGCTCTTAACTGAGCAGCAACCAACACCCATAGACTTTTGATAAAGGATTAAGACTTACCATAGCCCTCAAGAAACCAAGTAGCAGAACCGACTAAACTGGCCAATGGTGGTTTGGGCAGCGACCTCTCAGGGGTCAATCCGTCAATTTGGACTGGCTCCGAGAATCAAGGCCCTGGGATAATGCTTGGGCTTCTGTGTCCGGTTGATGGGCTGCCCTCTGGAATTGGACTGGATTCGGAACCCAACACCAATGAGCGCAAGAGGGGCAACCCCAAGCACATTGGAAGAACCCGCCCAGACCTGCACTGCTTAGGTGGTCAACCCATCCATAGTCACAAGGTTTGTTTCCTACCGTTGACGTGAACTGGCGAATGAGTTGAACACTTGGGAGTTCTCTGTGCCCTTCTGGCTTCCGTTTGAGACAGCTCCAGATCCTTCGCTGGTGAGACCGCCGAATCGTGCCATCCTGCTCCGATGCCCAGTGCTTCCAACCGTGCGGCTCGCCACTATAGTAACCGATTGGGTTTTCTACAAGGTTTTACATCGTGGCTTCCCCCCTTGGTTGCCTATACTGGCTTGCCTAGCAGCACTGGGAATGTCAGGATGGACAAGCTAGGTGGTTCATATTGGTTTACCCCCAGCATACACTGGCACGTCTCGCAAACTTCCTGGCACGTTACAACACTTCGCCCGTCAAAGTAACAGCAGGTGTGGGGTGCGCTGTCTTTTCCGACCATTCTGTGGGGAACGAACCTAATAGCATTTGTTCAATTCAAGTCCAGCGGCCACACGCGCGGTGCTTCTCGGATTGAGGCCACGAACAAAATTTCGGTTGCTGTCTGCTCCCCTGCTAAAGGTGACTAACTTTTAGTGGTTTAATATGGGAAATCCCATTAGTTGGCAAACAAAAAAAAACATGTTAAAGTCCTAACATCCCTTCGCAAAATGCAACAAATAAATAATCAGAACTTCCTCTGGCCGTATGGCCCAACGAGCATCTCCCCTTCCGATGGACAAACAGGGCTCCCTATATTTCCCCTAAGAACATCACTCCCACCAAGGGACACTCACCTTTCATGGGCCAGAAAAGCGATGTTTAAAACCACCAGAAAGGGAAATATAGGGCCCCCTGACAAACGGATACCCATCTTTGAACTCATCGTCCAGCTTCATTCAGTTTGCAACAAATGAACCGGTAAACACCGGGAAGTACCAATGACTTAGGCATCCCTGGCTGAAAATACTCCCTGGGATTCTTGGCATTAGTCCGCCACTGATATCAACCCTGCGTTCTAAATTGGGCGGGCGGGGGGGGGGCCTTGGGCACGTGTTCAATGCGCATTCTCCCACTTTCTCCGGTGCAGTGGGCATTTTTGGAGCACGTCAACCCTCGGTCCCTGGGCGCCTGAATTGGGTGGTCAGCTCCAGCTGCGGCGGCAGCCGCGCCAACGCGCTGAGCTGCAGTGAGCTGTGCCTCAAATTCGGGACGCCCTGAGTGGTTCATTGATCCCTCGGTGCGACATGTCGATGGTTCAAAACCAATGGCACCATTTAGGGATAGGTGCACCACCCCTCTTAGTCTATTTTAGTGGGGATTGGGATGTTCACTGGGGGTACGGGGTTTTGACCCATGGCCACATGTCGATTCAACCATCCAATCCGAATCCGTTGTAAATCCCTAGGGCCCTAGGGGAGTTCCTACAAAGGGACCCCTGCGTCACTCAAGGTAAGGATTCAGGATTACCTTTGAACAGCCCAGTCTAAGAGTCCAAGGGTATGGGAACCGCCCAAAGGACTCAACCAGCTGGACTTGTCAGTCACATGAACCCAAGACTGGTTTAAAGGCTTAGAGTGATGGGTCTGGCTCCGAAATGGAGCCCGCAAGAAAGCGGGATCTAGTACACTGCACTAGGATGCCCATGACGGGACATGGTGGTGTTTGATTCGAGTTGCGCGGCCCGGGGAGGTAGCTGACGTGGATCGCCCAGCAGCAGAACACACTCTGCAGAAACCTGGGCTTCAAGGCAACGTTTCACCTGATTCAAACTAGCAACAAGTCAGCTTGCGCCTAGTTGGTGGTATGGATTGGTGGTTTAGGGCCTAGGGTGGTGGTTTCCCATTGGCCCTCAACAAGAAGTGGCTCAAATCCAAATCCAACCAATCCAAATCATCAGTTGAGGGCTAGCTCATCAACTGTTGGCTTGTTGATCAGCAACATACCAACCAAGGAGCACAAAACTTACAAAGGAAAGCTTTGTCCTACAATGCAGGAAAGGCGCAGCAAGTGCTGCCTACAAAATCCTCAGTGATCTCATTACCCCGCCCAGCTGGGCATGGCAAACTTTTCGGGCGACCCCGTTAACTTCATCACAGTGTTGATTTGGTTTCCCTTTCAACCAGCCCTACAAAGGGATGCCCTCACAAAAACACGCATGGGTCTAAGCGCCTTGTCTGTGAGGCTACCCTTTTTGGGGTTTTCAAAAGGAACCGAGAGGACACCACCAATCTCAGGTTCCACCCCATCTTCGGACTTTTTGAATGGGACGTTACAATCAACCAACCTTTCCTCTCCCTTATGAAAAAAAAAAACGCAAAAACACACACACACAAACAAAATATGTTCCGAAACAAACACACACACACACACAAAAAAAAAACACAAAAAATAAAATAAACTGTTCCGGTCTGGTCAGGCGATTCCATGGCCCAGTCGCCCGGCTGAGTGCCGCGAAGAGCTGCGGCTCCGTGAGCTGCGCCGCCTCGTCCACCAGGACCAGCGGGCAGCGCAAGGCCTCGCCTGCGCGCGGAGCCGCGCGGAGTCGCGCGGATCCGAAGCCACGTGGAGGGACGGCCAGGGCTAAGCAGAAAGAAAAGTTTGCGCGATTTTGTGGAGACATATTATTATTATTATTAAACAAATATTATTTAAAAAAAAATAAAACAAGGTTTGGGGCAGGGATAAGGGGTGGGATTCGGATTCGCCCGCTGGTCGAGGTGAATGCCAACATACACTGCCCCCACGCAAAGTGGACCACATCAATGCGCAGCCCAATCCACAAGTCCAGCTGAATGCGGCCACCAGCATGGAGGGACCACGGCCGGGGTGTTTGCAAAGTTTTGCGAGATCTTTCAGGATAATTTAAAGGAAAGAAAGGCTTGAGAGAATTTAAAGGACAGATTTAAAAAAAAATAAAAATAAAAGTTGAGCAGAAAGGTTTGCGAGATCCCCTGGATAATTCAAAGGAAGGAAAGGTTTGGGGCAGGGGTAAGGGGTGGCTTTCTTTCCCAAGTCCTGTTCTTTCGATTCCAGTGACCCCACCCAGAACTACCTGCAAGAGGGTTATGGGTTCCAGGAAAATTCCATAGCCACGGCAACGAATCCTTCAGACAATTCCATAGCCATGGAGACAAATATCACAAAAAAACCATAGCCATGGAGACAAATATATCAGAAAATAACTCCATAGTCCTGGCGCCGGCATTTTTTTTCCTCAGAAAACATGCATGCCCCAAGTTCCGTGGGGCTGGGGCTGGGAGCTGGGAGCTGCTGGCTGACCCGTCCGCGCCTAGGTGGTCCGCAGCCTCCAGCGCCGCCAAGGTGGTGGCCAGCACTCGCCGCTTGCGCCACACCGAGGGCCTGGCCACCGAAAGGCGGCGACGGCGGCGGAGGCGGCGGAGGCGTTGCGCGGGGTGGCGCTTGCGCCGCGGACTTGGGAGACGTGGGATCTTGGACGTGGCAAAAACAGTTTGTGTTTTGTTTTTTTCTTGTGGGGGAGGGGGTGTGCAAGTCGACTAAGAAGTCTTACTCCCCACAACTCTAATCTAATGCTATATATATATTATATATATGTACATGTCTGTTCGTGTGAGGGAGGGGGTGTGGAAGTCTTACTCCCCACAACTCGAATGCTACATGTCTTTAATTAATGCATACAATCATCTCCCACGATAGGAACATGAAGGTAATAGTGCAATTGTTAACCAAACTAACCTAAAAATGACACCTATGAGTGCAATTTCATGGTCCTCCCCTCCAATTCTGTTGGGCCAGAGTCGACCTCGCTGCGACTCAGTCCAACCCGAGACCCCAAGTGAAGGTGTGGAGCGAACATCGATGCGTGGCGGCTTGCTTAGCGTACCATAAAGAAAACACACTGCATACCTGTCTGCCTGCTTGTCTGCCTGCCTGCTTGGTGTTTTGCTTCCTTCCTTCTTTGCGCTTTGCTTATTGGCACTTTTGTTCAGTTGATTGCTTGTTTGTTTGTTTGCTTGTGTGTCTGGTACATCCGTCATGCCAATCAGAAGATATCGCCTTCAAATTAATGTCAAACCCCAGACGCTGCCCTTGTACCAAAATCCGGGCAAAGCGACCACCACCCTTTTGGCCAAATGTTGGGACTCCGCCAAATGGCTACAGTGGCAAATCTGGGCCCTCAGATCCCCTGCTAAACTTTAACTTGTGGGCTAAATGGAAACCACTCAAACCTAAAGGGCTAAAGACCCTGATGGCTGGAAGACACCAGGAAATAACAGTTCCTCCCTAAGATTCACTGGACCAACTGGCCAACTCCCAGGCTGTCCAAGTATCCAACAGCTGCAGGCAACAAGCTGACCAAAGCAGCACCAGAATTCCGTTGACGCCTGGTTCCCCTAACATAGTTGTCAAGGCCTATATTAGGCTGTACTATACTTGGCCCACCGAAAACAACATGTTTAGACCTCTGGCTGATATTTAGTCTACCCTAAAACGCGACATCGCTTTGGACCGTGGGTTCCAGGTAGAACCACCAGAAGTCTGAAACAAAAATGCGAAATCGCCTGCCTGGGTGGCAGTTCGCCGCGCTCGACACTTTGGCGCAAAGCCTGGCGCTACAAATGAGACTTTGACAAAGACCCACTACCATAACTACCATACGGCAACAAAAAAACACAACCTGAGTCATACTCGAAACCTGGCCCCCAGAACCATGTAAAGCATGACCAAGGCGGCTGCATCATTTTTGGTTGGGATTATCCCTTGCTAACATTCATCTAGCCGGGTTTTTGATTGTGGCTCACCTGACATGGAAAAGATGGACCACTACCATCCGCGTCAAAAACCACACCTGGTATCGAAAGGCTCAACAAACACATGCCAATAATCGAAACATGCGGCCACGCCATCGCGCCTCTTGGCTAGGACTGTCCCCCACTACCCTCTTTGGCTGTCACTACTCGAGTTTCCCAGGTCTGATGTGGTGACCTCGGATTCATCCGGAGGACCGTACAAACCAGGGGCGCTTCCCTGTAAAAAAGGGGAAAATAGTAGAGTCCCTGACTAGAGGGGTCCTCCGGACTTATCCAAAGCTAACATTGCTGGGTTGTTCAAAATGGGGACCCCCGGTCCGAATCCGCAATCCGTAGTGGGACAGCACCGGAAGGGAAACCACAACTGGTACCTTGGCATAAGCACCACAAGGGAAACCACTAGCATTGGCACACAGCTGAAGGAGTGACTTTGAACACACCAACATATACAGGAGACAAATGCTGAGATCTACATCTTGCTGAGCCGGAAACACTTACCGATCAGCAAGCCTTCAAAGCTTCCGAGCGAACTGTCATGAGCAGGCTTGCATGATGATACTGTGGATGGACGAAATCCTGCACCACCTAAGAAACCCTGGAAGGATGATTCACCTGT